CTTTGAAATCTGTACAGTTCTTTCATATGTTACATTTTGTGTGTATACTCTTGGACATCTTGCCTTTATTATCATTTTAGATTCTGTTACTTCACTGTACATGTAAAGTATCTTGTGGCTTTAATGAGAGTGGAGGTACTTGAGGCCATGGGCTCTCATCCTACATGAATATGTCTTTTATATTTCAGGATATTCTGTAACATTACCTTCTCAGGCAAAAGAGAAAAGTTAGCATGTCCTCAATTATCCATACAGTATTTTGTCCCCATGGTTTTAAGTTAAAGATTTGGAGTCAGCTATGATCTTATCACTAGATGTCGTTTGTGGATCACAAATAGTCATGTAACCCTGAGACAGTTTTTGGAAAAATATATAATCCACAATGTACATAATGTTTGGAATCCCTTCATGAACATTTTTGAGAATAGAAAAATGAAACAAAGGAGTCCTCCTAAGTACTAGTTGCTCTGATAAAATATTTGTAAATACGTGATTGAAGAATATACTAAATTATTTCATAATCATTTGTTCATAATTATAATATCAACAGGTAGGCTGGTCTGTCTGCCTATCTTCTTTTTTTTATTACTATTATTAAATTCTTTTTTTGGTACATTGTAGGTATACAACACAATTACATTTCTCATTAGGAATTGTACCTTTACATAATACATCTTGGTTCTTATTTTTTCCCCATTCCTAGCCCTCCCTTCACGCCCTCCACCCTTCCCTATTTACAAAGACTTTATTTCCATTTTTTCCATTTCTCATCATTTTTCCTTTCCCTTCTTTCCTTTCCCCTGCCCCTCCCACTACCCCTAGCCCTTTGGACCTTTTCTTCCTGTTTTACATTATCGATTATTCATTCTAATCATTGGTACATTTTAGGTATACAATATAATGACATTCATCCTTGGAAATTTGCACCTTTACATAGTCTCTCTTGGTTCTTATTTTTCACCCTTGCCCAGCCCTCCCTTCAACCCCTCCAGTCCTCCTTATTTACAAAGATTTTGGTCCTATTTTTCCATTTTCTCATATTAATCCCATTCTCTTCTGTCCTTTCCTCTAGCCCTCCCACTTCCTTCCCCTTTGCCCCTTTTCTTCCTATTTTACATTACCTATTATATATTTAGTCCTTATTTACTCTTTCAGTTTCTCACACCAGAGAAGCTATTCGGAATTTATTCATGTGTGTCCTATTTATTTCACTTAAGAGTATTGCCTCAATGTGCATCCATTTAGCTATAAATGTCTCTAATTTCTCATTTTTTATGGCTGAGTAGTACTCCATTTTATAAAAAAACCACATTTTCTTTATCCAGTCTCCAGTTGATGGGCATTTGGGCTGTTTCCAAGTTTTAGCTATCACAAACTGCTTCTATGAACATGGGCGCACATATATCACTGTGATATGATTCTTTTAATTCTTTGGGGAAGATCCCCAGCAGTGGAGTAGCGGGGTCAAATGGGACTTCCAGTCCTAGTTTTTTGAGGTATCTCCATACTGATTTCCACAGTGCTTGCACCAGTCTACACTCCCACCAGCAGTGGAGCAGGGTTCCTCTTTCCCCACAGCCCCACCAGCATTGGTTATTGGTTGATTTCATGACAGCAGCCATTCTTTCTGGAGTGAGGTGGAATCTCAGCGTTGTTTTCATTTGCAGCTCTCGAATGACCAGTGAAGTTGAACATTTTTTCATGTATTTATTTGCTATTTCTGCTTGTTTGTTTGAGAAATGTCTGTTCATTTCAGATGCCCATTTTTGGATTGGGTCTTTAAATTTGGGAGGTCTGATCTTTTTAAGCTCTTTATAGATTCAAGATAGCAGACCTTTGTCTGAGGAAGAGCAGGTGAAGATTTTTTCCCACATTGTGGGTTGTCTCTTCACACTGCTGGTGGTTTCTCTTGCTGTGCAGAAGCCTTTTAATAAGAAGAGATCCCACTTGTTGATTGTTTGTGCTAGTTCACGGGCAACTAAGGTTTTGTTCATAAAATCTTTTCCTATACCGATGTCTTCAAGGGTTCTACCTAACCTCTGTTCCAACTGGTTCAGAGTTTCTATTTTAATATTTAGATCTTTAATGCATTTTGATTTTAGTATTGTGCATGGTGAGAGATACAGGTCTAGTTTTAATCTTTGTGTCTGCCTATCTTCTTAATGTGGCCATAAAGTTAAAAAATTTTAGGATGTTTGCTTTTCATCTTTTTATTGTGAGAGAAATAAGTACTGTAGCACCTTACACTGATTCATACCAAAAACTGAGCAATTATTATTCTTTTGTAGTATTTATGGAAATGCCTGGTTTTAACTTAGGAGCTCTGTAGATATTCACTAATAGGAAAAAAGGAAGATCTACATAAGCATCTCTGTTTTACTGTTGAGAAAACAGAAGCTCACAGACATTAACTTGCCCAGCATTAATAGCTGGCATGAAAATAGAGACTGCAAATTCAAGTCTGGTTCTAGAGCCCGGAGTCCTCTTTCCATTATTCTCATGGTGCCTGGTAGCCATTACTCATTCATAGAAAAGTAAGCGGATGGCAAGTACAGATGACTGATTATTCCTTTCTCTTTTGAGAGGTGTGGAGGAAAGCAAGATCCTAAACATCAGAAGGACCCTGATGAGTGCCTAGGGCTGAGAAGCATAACAGAAAAAGTCACCAAAGGGAAAACTAGCTTCCAGAGATGGCCTGCTTTGCAGTTTAGCTTAGAGTTAGTCCTTTCCTTTAGCCAGTGACAGAAAGAAGCTGAAAATACATGTTGGTCATTATCTGCTCTAGACTTAAGAACCTGGCCTCTCTTAATACTTTTTGACCATGTGATCTTGGATGAGTTGCAACCCTGTGACTACATTTGTTTATATTTTAAAATAGAGGAGGATTAAACATATTAAATGAAAAATATATAAAATAATACCTGGCACATGATAAACATTCAATAAATGTTAACCATTTGACTGACTTTATATACTGAACAATATGCTAAATGTTCTTGCTGCTTTATGTGATTTATGAAGTAGAATTTGAACCATGCCTGGAGTGCCCATATATCCCAAATTACAACTACTGTCCTAGTATAGTTATTATTAGTGCCCCCTTTTTACTCTACACGGTATTCTGTTGAAGGTAATAAATCATTTGATCATATTAACTGTCAGCTTTGTTATAGTCAACTTAGAAAAGTTTTGGGCCAAGTTTGTATAAGTTTGTCTAAAGTAATGTATCCTCCAAGGGGAGACAGAACCACTTTCTGATGTCTGTAGGGCATTGTATGTGTTACAGATTAGGATCACTAACATCCTGGTATTAGACTGCCTCGCATTAAACTATTCATTTCCCATTTGTTAGCTATGTACCCTTGAAAAAGTTGGTTTGCTTGTTGAAAACTAGGTGCTTTGTTTGTAAATTGAGGACAGCACTAGTACCTGCCTTCTAAGGCTGTAAATGGGGTAATAGACAAAGGACTTTCTTAGCCCCCACTATGTAGAAAATACATTTCAAATGTGATATAGGGAGTTAGGATTTTGCTTAAGGAAAAGGCCTTAACACAGTGTTTAGATATTTTGGAAGCTGAGAGATTGAAATAATTGTACTGAACAAAGGTCCTTTACAATGGTAAAATCTATTGGTTTTGTTCTAACAGGTATCAAACACTAATTTTTATTTGTATGCTGTTATTTCATAGTCTGGAAAATTTCAAACATTTATAAAAATATAACAGCACAATAGAACAATGTACCCATGTGATATCCATTAGCTTCAACAATAATATATGACTGATCTTTAGTTTTATAATTATTTTAAATGATATATTTTACATGTGATACAATTCACTCATTTGAAGTATACAGTTCAATGACTTGTAAATCTACCTAGTTGCCAGCCATCACAATAAAACTATTGAACATTCCCTCACCTTGGCTGGATAGATGCTACCAATTTATATTAATTCCAGTTTTCCCCCTCAGCACTATGCAACTACTGTTCTTTCTACCACTGTAGATTTTTCTTTGCTGGACATTTCATAGAAATGGAATCTTATAATATGTGGTCTCTAGTGTCTTGCTTCTTTCACTTAGCATAATGTTGAGGTTGTTGTGTTGCTGTATGTTTCAGTACTTTCTAGTTTTTGCTGAATAGTGTTCCATTGTATAGGTAATTCCATTTTGTGTCCTTCACCATGAGCAGTCTTTTTTCATCTATATTTTTATCCTTTCCCCTGTATTCCCTACCTCTACTCAGGTATTTCAGAAGTAGCTTAAAACATTTTTATATGTTCCTGCCCTTTATTTTTACTTTTCTAAACCATCTTTCTACTCTTGCCCATGTTAATTTTTTTCCAGCAACTAATAGATTGCTTTGCTTTGTTTATGCTTCTGTTTATCTTTTTTATTTTGGCTTTATTTGAGAATGAAGGAGTGTCTAGACAACATTTTTTAAAGATTGAAACTTCATTTCATTATCTTCTACTTTAATGAAAATTCTTACTTATCGCATGAGACAGCTTTCCATCACCATGACAAAATATGTAAGATAAACAACTTCAAGGAAGAAAGGTTTATTTGGGCTTGCAGCTTTGGAGATTTCAGTCCATGGTTGCTTGGCCCTTGTGGGCCTGTGGCAGGGCATAACACGGGAAGGAAAGTGTGATGGAAGTCTTTTCACTTCTTGGCCACAAGGAAGCAAAGGGGAGGGAGAAGGGGAGTAGTTTCCCCCTCAGGGGCATACCTTCAATGACCTAACTTCCTCACCAGGTCCCACTTTGCAAAGGTTCCACCACTCTCCGGTAGCACCATCAGCTGGGGACCAAGATTTCGATACAGGAGCCTTTGGAGGACATTTAAGATCTAAACTAGAACACTTTACTCAGTGGCAAATCCAGATATTGATTACAGTATTTCTAAGTTTTCTGTAAGACTTAAATATCAGCTTCAATGTTATATGTTGGGCTGGATCTACTTGCTTCTGATTCATATGGATTTTTTTTTATACTCAGGTTGTTGGAAGAGGAGCCTTTGGAGTTGTTTGCAAAGCAAAGTGGAGAGCAAAAGATGTTGCTATTAAGCAAATAGAAAGTGAATCTGAGAGGAAAGCTTTTATTGTAGAGGTAAGTTGATATGTTTTTTCTGTAATTCTTCACCTGAGATGCCCCGAATTTAATACTGTGAAAGACATAGTTCCTCAGTTGTCATTTCTGTATATACATGGCATCAGCAATTTGGTTAAACCAGGGTGCTGTAGGAACATTTTGTCATTCATACTTTTAATTCTGATTTAAAATTAGGGAGAAACAGATTTACTATATAAATTCATTCTTGAATTAATATGTACTCTCAGCCATGGAACTCAAATCTATTTCAAGACATAACATTTTAATTTTGAAATAGAAAAAAAAATAAAAATAAAAATGCATTAAAAAAAGAAAAATGATATTCTTTCATACCATCTAAAATTAAGATGGGGAATTTTATGCATATATTTTTAGTAGAATTTTTTAAGAAATTCAAATGACATTAAGGAAAAATAATTTCAAATTTGGTTTTTCCTTAGCATGAATATTTATAGTTCTGTTCTTCCACAGATGGGATATTGAAGGAGTATTCAGTAATGAGATTATTGTGTTATCTGATTTGTTTCTTATTTTATTAACTTTATATTACTCTGTATATTACACCAAAATATTTGATCACATCAACATTTTTTATCACTTTTAACTTATTGGCTAAACTCTCATAAACCTTCTGAATTTATATGTTTTAATCATAATTTTAAAATAAACAGTACTTCATCTTTTTAGTATGTAACAAATGAGAACTTAATTGTGTTATGATGAAGTAATGTGAAATAGCTGCAAGGAGAAACACTGATGAATGGTTTAATGTCATCAAGAAGAAAGACAGTCTGACCTTAGCCTTGCTTTAGTCATGATTTTTGTTTATGATTAAATAAGGTCATTGATCATATACTGTTTTGTCGGTAGTTTTATACAGCTGAGGAGAATAGCATATGTTTTAAATGCTAGGATTCGGGAGTCAATGTAAAGAGGAAAGAATTCTCTAAACTTCTTAGAAAAGAAACTTCAGTCCTCTATACTTCCCCTCATCTAATTTTCGGCTTCCCAGAGACAACTACTTTGAGCTTATCTCTTCATTGGCATTTGGTGTCCCCTAATCTAGGTGCTGTTTTGTTACATCTTCTCTAAAGAATTACTGTAAGCTCTAATCTGCTAAGGATGCTCTCAGTTAGTCATTGGGCTATTTGAAGTCAGGGAAGGGCTCTTTGGGGCTTTCATCCATTTGCTCCCCACCCCTATTTATTAGATACCTGATGCTACCACTCATCTCTTGGAAGTTTTGAGATTAAATCTGGTTACTTCTCAGTTTTCCCATTGCCAGTTTATAATTCAGCTCTTTTGGGTCTACGTTGTCAGTTATTACTCATTAACTTTCCTACTTCCAAAAATAAGTAGTTTTTTTTTCATTTCCTATTCTCTTCATTTTGGGGGATTTATACTTAAAAACAACAACCAAAAAAAACCTTTACCATTTTATTGAGGTTTGAGGACGAAGCAGAAATAAATGCATGAATAATCTGCTATCTGAAGCTCCATGTTGAACCTTATCAAGATGAAATATAGTAAATGTGTGTTTGTATATAATATGTAATTATAGTAATTAGTGGTATTTTTTGGTTAAGATAAAAAATTCATTAATGTTGATTATAGAGAGATAAAGCTTTCTGTAGCATATAGTAGAAAAGGTAGACTTAGTATGAACCAGCAGCATAATGTAGGTAAAATGAGAGGAAGAAGAGACAGGGGAAAAAAAAAGAGAAAGACATCAAGAATCAACTTTTTTCAGGGAGGTACATTAGTAGAAGTCCAAAATGTGGAAAAAGAGAAATGAGTAGAGCCAAACCACTCACTGATTGGATCAGATTAAAACTGGAAGTAAAACCAGCCAGGAGAAGGCTATAGTAACTACTGCAGGAGTTCAGGTTAGAATTGCTAAGGCAATGGGTATAGAGAGGAGGAAATTATTCCAAGATAGAAAATGGAATTAGAGCCAAGTATGCAGAAAGAGTGTACATTTTAAGTCAGATAGTCCAAAAAAGTTCAAGTCCTAGCTGTAGGATTTTTCACGGCTCATTTAATTCTCTCTGAATTTTAACCTTAAGGTCTCATCTTTAAAATGAAAATGATAATACCTACCCTGCAGAGCTATGATAATTATCTATAAAATAAAACAGCCGTACACAGAGTGAGTAGACTTTTCAGCTGTAGCTGTACACATGATGATGACAAAAGGAACATGACCTTTGGCTGAGCTACCTCAGCTCAGTGCTGTCTCTGGGATTATGTGTTAATATTGCTTCATGGTTAGTTTCTTCTGTTTACTTATTATGCCTTGTTCATAGCTCCTGTTACAGCACTTTGCGTGTTGCTTTAATTATTTGTTTACATATTGTCTTCAGAACTAAATAGTTGAAGGACAGGGATTCTGTGCCTTTCTGGGTAGGCACTTAGTATTTCCAAGGCCGGGCATCACACTGCTTACTACCTGGTAAGCAATAATTGTTGAATGACTTAAACAGATAGTTTGTAGGACGTTAAGATTTTAACAGTGTTATGAAATCAGCACCTCAGAAATTACTTTTAAATTAAGCATCCTTAATTTGTTACAGCTTCGGCAGTTGTCCCGTGTGAACCATCCTAATATTGTAAAGTTGTATGGAGCTTGCTTGAATCCAGTAAGTCTATAACTTTTTTGTTGTGATCTGGCAGATGTATACAAGAGTGTAGTTTATGAACCTATTTTGATCAACTATCTTACATGTATTTCTGAAAAAGCAATTGTATTTTATACATTTAATTTGTTTCTAGTCTTAGTAAAATAGTGTATTGGAGGAATTGTATCGACTGGTCTTATCCAATAAACTTACCTCCTTATAAGGCTTTTGATACCTTTTGAGAACGTCTACTTATACCACTAGAGAAAGTCCCCAAAGATCTTGTGATTATATTTTTTATATGTAATTCCACTCTTAGTACTCCTAGAAGACAAGATCTTAAGCCCTAGATCTTTGTTGTTTTGTTTTGTTTTTAATTTTTTTTCCTGTAGTGCCTTTTTACATAGTACAGGCCAAAAGAATAATGTTTAATACATCTTTAAAATTGAAGGATTATGGTTGGGGATTTAGCTCAGTGGTTCTGCCTCCTGCCTCGCAAGCGCAGGGTCCTGAGTTCTATCCCTGGCACCAAAATAAATAAATTTAATTAATTAATTAAAAGTGAGGGATTAAATGAAATTATCTCTCTGGTATCCTAAGTTGCTATAGCTCCAGTTAATTCTACTGGCATACATTTCTTTTAGGTGTGTCTTGTGATGGAATATGCTGAAGGGGGCTCTTTATATAATGGTGAGTATCACTACATCTGTCTTTATGTAATAGATTAAAATAATTTGTAAGCTTTTAATATAAATTGTAGGTAATTTAATGTCTTTCACAGTTTACCATCAGAGTTCCAAAAGAAATTTTGTAAAGCTGATAGATTAAAATTAAAACATAAGATGCTACATTAGTATATGAAATTTAGAAGTCTGTGAATTTGTTAAATTGATAATACTTCCATTGTGTTAAAAGCATTTAAAGTAAAATTTACTTTTTAAAATAGATTTTAAAATAACTTTAGATGTTTTTTCTTTGTGCCTGTTTTTAGCTTTGAGCCTCCTCACTTTAGAACTCTAACCATCCCTATCACTGTCTTCGCTATCACTGCTTACTTTGCAAAAAAAAAATTGAAAACTCAATTCACAGATCATTTTAATTGTAACAATTAAAGTTTTGTGTACCACATACTACCTTTGTGGAACAGAGATTTTTCACCCTAAAATATCGACCATACACATAAGTATTATCTACTTTAGTAACAACTATATATAGTAACATTTATTTTTAAATTAATATATAATGAAAACTTCAACTTAATACCCATGTGTTCCTCTTTGTTGATGGGTACCTAATACTCCATTGTTTTATTGGGTTGAACTACTAGTTTTAACTAGTACTGTAGTTGTAAGCCTCTTGCTTGTTTCACCTGTCTTGTTTCTGTAGTATTACTCTGTATCTCTTGTATAGTAGTGTGAATAAGATGCTTGTAATTTATATTGTTTTGTGGAAAGCTATCAATTTGAAAAAGTGTGATATGACATATTATTTTTACTTGAATGTATGAATAACATTTAGTAGAGATCCCTTTATAAATGTTAAATACTTAGATGATGATTACTCAAAATTACTAGATATTTCCATCTGTTTATTTAGAAAACAAAAGCAGGACTAATGGGAATATATGTAGAAAAACACCCACTCATGTTTGCATCTACATTGTGTCTTTTGTTATATGCAATAAAATTCTTTTTAGTTTGTGCCTTTCTTTTGCAGTGCTGCATGGTGCCGAACCATTGCCATACTACACTGCTGCCCACGCAATGAGTTGGTGTTTACAGTGTTCCCAAGGAGTGGCTTATCTACATAGCATGCAACCCAAAGCTCTAATTCACAGGGACCTGAAACCACCAAAGTAAGTTCTGATAGCATGACACCCTAACCTCCCTCCCTCCCTCTCATCCTCTGCCTACTCTTTACCCACCCCCAAATTCAAAATAATTATTGCCCACGAGTTTCTCTTTTCTCTTCCCTTTTGGCTTATTCAAGAATATTTATTTTTCATTCACCTTTATCATTTAATTATTTATCCTAGTTTCTATTTTAGAATGTTGTTTTTTAGGAGATTTTTATTTTTATTAACTCCTGCCTTAGATTATCATAGTTTTAGAATGTTAGCCTATAGCTCTTATTTTATACCTGCAGTATGTAATCTTGCTACTGGAGAGTTTTTTGAGAGAAAAACAAGTCTGACTTACCATTTATAGTGTATCCTAACAACTAGCACAATACCTGTACAAAACTTTATAGAGTCGTACTACTTGTCTTTTTTTTTTTTTTGTACCAGGGATCGAACTAAGGACCTTGCGCTTGCCAGGCAGGTGTGGTGCCACTGAGCTAAATCCCCAGCCTACTTGTCTTTTATGGGAAGGCAAAAAGTCATTGCTGGCATGTGAATAGAAACTGAAAATATTCCATATTTCTCCATATTGAGAATCCTGGGAGTAGAAAGAACTTTAAAATTCCTTAAAAACCTAAAATTAGGACCTGGGGATGTAGCTCAGTATAAGGCATTTGTCTGGCATATGTTAGGCCTGGGTTCAATCCCTGCTTTTAAAAAAAAAAAAAAAAGCTAAAACTTTTGAATTTTTTGTTTGTATGGAGATTCAATTAAGAAAGGAAACGTGAGCAATGTATTTTCCTTTTTTTCTTCTTTACTCACATATGAAGGCAGAAAAAAAAGCCTTCACATCTTCTTCCCTCTGCTATCACATCAGTCTTCAGATAAGAGGTTTCTCACAGAGTGATAGTATAGTTATAAAGTATTCCATTCTCTTTGTATTGGTTTAAAGCATCCTTTCTGGATCTGACTCATTCACATATCTAATCTCATGCATTCTACCTAGGTTTCAAATCTTGGGATCATTAGTAGTAGTAATGTACCTTTTTTTAACTCCCAGGCTTAAAATGATCTCACAGATCTCTAGTAAGATAATGTTTAAGCTCTAGATTCATGGCATTTCTGTTTTTGTCTTAACTACCTGCTTTGGCTAGTGAAGAAGAAATCATTTAGCTCTTTTTTCTAGTTTATAGCTATTTGGTCCTCCTTTCTCCTCTGTATTAACACATAGTTCAATTCTTAAAACAGATTCATGAGAATCATACATCCCTACCCAGCAACACATTATTTATGATTCAGAAGATATAGGCAAGCATCAGACACAAAGTATTCTTTTTCTGGAGGAGTCTGAAATTACCAGATGCAGCATCCAAAAGTATCCCTTACCATCTTATTTAGGATGTGTTTTGACTGTGAAACTAGTGACTAGTTACTGAACAGTATATAGAGAAATAGCTTACAAAAGGAAGTTTCATTTTCCAGCATCTTTTATTTTACATTAATTACACAGCTTTAAACAGTTGTCCCCTGTCTCCGTTCAATCATACCTCATAAATTTTAGGCTTGATCAACCTAGTTAGACCAGATATATGCACTAAAATCAAAAGAATTCTCCTATTAGTAACTGCCACTGACACACAAGAGGCCTGGTTTGGGTCATTCATTTCTCTGAGCATCTGTGTGGTTGAATTGATCCTGTAGTATTACAGGTCTTTGGGAGCATCCAGTATACAGTTAGACTTTAGAATTAGAATTGATATTCCAGAAGCTTATGGGAAAAAGAATATTCTTTGGAATGGCTGTGCTATCCTTTCAGATGCAATTAACCTGCGATATCTTACTGTCAGTGAAAACTATTGATTCTATGGTCAGGAAGAAGTCCCAGAATAGCATATAAAGAAGGTAAGGTACCTGATGATTTGTTGAGGTGTTTTATAGTATCAAGTTATCATTGTCTATTTTATTTACACATTCATTCATATGTACATCACAAAGTAAAATATATTTTTAGTCTTAGCTTTGTGAAAGTTAGCCTACAGAGATAATTTAAATTTAGGTTTTAATGAGCCTTGAATGTCATGTTTAGGGTTGGTGGACGTTTCATGAATAAAGAAGTACTAATATAAAAGTTATTCAAAAAACAATTGTGATATAGTCAATGTACTAGGTTGAAACAAGGAAACCAACTACAGAATACTTATTCCTTTGAGTGAAGAGTAGTAAGAATTTGAACAAGAACAATGAGACAGGAGAACAAGTTTTTTGTTGAATTGTAGTTAAAGACAAATTGCATTGAGTACTTCTTTTTTCACTTCAGTTATCATGGAAGTATTTTTGGTAGTATGAAGATGTGAATAACAGTTTATCTGGTTTATCTTAGTCATATTGGGCTAAAAGAGCTGGTTTTCTAATTCTTCCCAGTTAGAATTTAAGTACAAAAGTATATACAAAAAGTTTATAAAATTTATAAATAAAGTGAGACTCCGTGTACCAACTACTATGGAGTATTACTACAGTATGGTTATGTATTACCCATCTCTATTTCTGTTTGTCAAGAAAAGCAAAACCTTCTAAGAAAAGCTATACTACTGGTAATTATAGCTGGATAGTAATAGCACCTAGGGAATCCTAAATTCAGAACATTTTCAGGAAATCTTTCATTGGGTCATTTTAACCACAGTAGACTTGGACTTCTCCACCATTCATATTCTAAATGCAAAAATGGTTTAGGGATTGAACATTTTTAGAAATAACCTTCAAAATAAAGGCATTTTACATAAGGACCATGTTTCCCTTTTTATTGATTTATGTTATCTTTAATTAAATTTATGATTAAACTGCCATTTCATGACACCATAATGTTGACATACTGGAAGTTTTTTGTTTTTTGTTTTTGTTTTTGTTTTTGTTTTTGTTTTGGTACTGGGGATCGAACTCAGGACCTTGTGCTTGCGAGGCAGGTGGTGAAACCACTGAGCTAAATCCCCGGCCCTGGAAGTTTTTTTAGATCCATGTTTTATCTTGGTCAGAGAGAAATATGGTCAGGAAAGATTATGGAACTGGAGGTGGAGACATCAAAATGTGAGTCTGGTAGGCTCTGAACTATGAGGCTGTTACAGTAACCAACTAACATTTCACAGAAGTTTAATGTTAACATTCATTTTGCTTAACTCTTTCCATCTCCACAAATGCCTCCTCTTTTATTCTAGAATCAAATATTGGCCTTATAACTTGATTTTTTATTTTTTCCCAACAGTCTGCTGCTCGTTGCAGGGGGGACAGTTCTAAAAATCTGTGATTTTGGTACAGCCTGTGACATTCAGACACATATGACCAATAACAAGGGGAGTGCTGCTTGGATGGCACCTGAAGTTTTTGAAGGTATAATGGAAAAAGCATAATGTTATTGGTGATCTGCCTCACTCCATATAAATCCATTATATGTTTATAGAGTTTCCCTATTTCCATTGTTTTATATCTCCATAGTACATAGTTATAAGGGATATTGAAGTCTAAAAAGGTTTTAAGTAAATGTAGTCTTAGATCCTGAGTTTAATGCAGAATTTAAATTGGCATCTTCTGTGTAGATTCAAGGATATGTATAGTTGATCCTCATTGTTCACAGATTCTATGATTATAAAATTGCCTACTTGTTAAACTTTATTTTTAACTTCCAAATCAGTGTTTGTGACACTTTGACAATTATTTGTGAGCAATGCAAATGTGCAGAGCACTGCACATTTTGAGCTGCCCAACAGACTTCCCAGTGTGAGAGCCAATGAGGCAGTGCTCTCCTTTCCTGTTGTACTCATACTGTAAACAAGACACCTTTTTGCCATATATCCAGAGCCATGTTCCACACCCCCCCCTTTTTTTTTGGTACCTGGGATCGAACTCAGGACCTTGCACTTGCGAGCCAGGCGGCGGCACCACTGAGCTAAATCCCCAGTCCTCCCCATTTTTGTTAGTGATTTTTTTCTATATTTAAAACGGCTCCAAGTTGTAGTGTTGCGCTAAGTACAAGAAGGCTATGAATATGTAAGAGAATACACGAAGATACATGTTAGATGATATTCATTCAGGCATGATTTACAATACCATGAGTTCATTGTTAAGAAATCATGTTAAATAAGATCTCTTTGAACAGAAACAAAGATAAAACAAAATTTTATATTGATAAATTGACAAAACTTTGTCAACCAGAGGCATACAGAAACCCAATCTTGTATTTCCCCGTAGGAGTAATGATTCAGTGTTGGCTAAATCAGTGTTCATAGAGGCTTAAAAAACATAAATGCCAATATAATGTGAATAAACTGCTTTGGTGCTGGTTTTCTAGCAATTAAAAATTAATAACTTAAAAGTTCAAATGAGCATACCTTTAAATAAATGCAAGTAATTGGTCAGAAATATATACTGAGAACTACAAATAAAAAGCAAGGTTATACTGTATTTACTTTTTTATACTTCCATATCTCATTCAGGATTCAAAAGAGTAGCTTGTAATTATATACTACATAGTCACTTGAGTGGAACTATTTTGTCTAAAAATTCAATTAAAATGTTGGTGGACAAGCAAGTGTTAAATTACACAAAATTAAATGTCTTCTATTTCATATATGGAATACATATATTTGGCACTTGTGTTAGTTACTTTTTTCGTTGCTGAGACATAATACCCAACCCAAAGTTAAAGGAGGAAAGGTTTATTTGGCTTACAGACTCTAGAGGTTTCAGTTCATAGTTGGTTGGCTCCAAGGCAGGGCAGCATGGCAGAGGGGCGTCACAGAGAAGAAACAGTTCATGACAAAGCAGGGCAGGCAGAAGGCAGCAAGCATCTGACAAGATATGACAACAGGCAGCTCTTTCTGTCCGTTATATTTTTATTCAGGCTACCTACCCGTAGCACTTACACTATTAATCCTAGCATTGCACTGTGAATCAATCCCAGCAACACATCTTTGATGCCAGTATTACACAGCCTAGATCCAACCACCTCCAAAAAGCTCACCTATGATCACATGAGGCTTTGAGGGGACATCAGGCACAAACCGTAACAGCACTTTTACAAAATCATTAACTTCAAATACCTGTTTGTGAGTTAAAACAACACAGTGTTAGTATAGTAAAGAAAGCAAAACATTTTGCTTCTATAGACAAATAATAGTTACCATGAATTGTCATTCTAGAATAACAAAGTTTGGACTATTAGGCTATGTAATTCCTACATTTCTGAAAGATGTCATCTGGGAGCACCTGTAGACCAAATTAGATGGCAGTGTCATTTCAGTACTGCACTACAGTGTACCACTTATCATGTAAAACTATCACTGTAATAGTTGTAATTATTACAAGGTGGCTGGGAGGGGGGTTACTTTCTTGGGGGAGGATTGGGTGTTTGTTGTGCTGATTCATCCACCAAATTAGTAGTTCTCTAAATTGTGCTGCATAATCTGCTTACTGTAAATCTGTTATCCATAATTTTTATTACTTATAGCTTATTTTACATTTACAAATTAAGAATTTTTTTCTTTATATTGAGAGAAAAACACTAAATTAGAAATGTCTACTTTCATAGAAAAGTTATGCTACCCATCAGAAAATGGGGACAAAATGTAAGATTAAAAATTTACAGAGGATATAGTTCAGTAGTAGAACACATGCTTTGTGTGTGCCAGACCATGGGTTCAATCCCAAATTATCACAAAATAAAATAAATACATTGGGGAGGTATATACATTCTCATACTGTGCCCCAAAGAAAGTATTAATCTACAAAAATTAAAAAAGCAAGGCCTGTGCCTCTTGATGAAAAGATAGAAAATAACTGACTTTCCAAAGTACATTTCTTAGTGTGTTGTTGATACTTAGTTCATTTTAAAAATGTATTTGTTGAAAAGATTTAGGTACTATATTTCCGAAAGAGTAATTTATTAGCTCTTTATGTGGTAGCATCTTGTTTTTATCCAGATACCCATTGTTAAAATTTATAAAACTAATTGTTTCTGTAAGTCATGTGGGAAAAAAGTCTCAAGATTATACTGCCTTCTTTTCTAGGTAGCAATTACAGTGAAAAATGTGATGTCTTCAGCTGGGGTATTATCCTTTGGGAAGTAATAACGCGTCGGAAACCTTTTGATGAGATTGGTGGCCCAGCTTTCCGAATCATGTGGGCTGTTCACAATGGTTTGTGGAAGGAAATTTTTCTTTAATATACTTTATATAGTTCCTGTTTGGAAGAATGTTCCTATCGTCGCTCCTAAAGACCATTTATCCCTAACGTTAAAATGTACAGTTCTTTGTTACCAGACTACTTTCCCATTACCATCTTCTGCCCCTCCTCCCCAGATCCAGCAGGGCAATGCTAAGAGTTCTGGTTTCCATATGGGAGCTGAGGACATTTGCTGGCTGCACTGATTAGGGAAAAGCCATCAGTCAGTCCACAGCTAGAGCCTTCTGTCTCTCCTGATGATAGAGAAGAATTGGACTGAACTCTGTAAAGAACAAATACATAAATAAAATGTACTCTTTTTTTTCTCCAGGGGAAAGAAGGGTCTTACCGAGGAGATAAAACAGACTCAGAAGAGTTGTAGCTGGGCATGGTGGCACATGCCTATAATCCTAGTACTCTATATAAGGTCAAGGGAGATGAATTGGAAGTTTGAGCCCAGCCTGGGTAACAGTGACTTAGCAAGACCCTGTCTCAAAATAAAAAAGAGCCTGTGGTTGTAGCTCAATGTGAAGTTCATAGGTTGAATCCTCAGTACAAGAAAAAAAAAGTTGTTACTTAAGCTTAAATAAGCAAAACATGAAATATTTTACATACCCTTTCTTTTTATATTCTTACCATTTTTATGGAGTAAGTACTGTTGCCTTGTCTTATGAATTAGGAAAATGAGCTCTAGAGAGGTATAACTTGGCTAATGTCACAAGATTCCTAAGTGATAGAGCTAGCTCAGTGAATCCAAATCTTTCTGACTCGAGTCTCATATTTTTAAGTGATATTGACTTGAGAACTCAGGGTCTTTACATCTTTCTGACCCTTTTATATCCCTAGTAGTGTTTCTAATCACATATAATGTTGGAATGCATCTTCATTAATAAAATTATTTTACCTTTGCATGAGAAAATAATCTCTTTATAAAGGAAAATTACCTCCCTAACTTTAACATCACTATTATTTTATTCCTATCACTTTCTATAATTATTCTGATGTATTTTTATACATTTTATACACTTCCATAAGTGATAAAAACAAATGTGTGTTCTGTCTAGGTCATTTATAGACTGGTCAAACAGTACCATCACCAGCATAATTGTAGCATTTTATCAGTTTCTTGTACCAACTTCAGTGTTACCACCTTTTCATTTCATTGTGAAGAAGACTAGAGCATTGACCAAGACAGTTTGCTTTTGCTCTCAGTTGAATGTCAGTGAAATAAAGCATAAAAGAACTACCTTGTCAACTGATTAAGTTATAAAGATCTCCTATTTGAGGACTTCTTTAAATAGAGATCTTAATAATTACAAAAAGATGCCAGTGTTCAACTTGTAAAGTGATTGATTCACAACAGCAATAAGGTCCACTTCCCACAAAAGGTTCATTTGGAAGTCACTGAATATAACATCATAGTTAGCAATGTTCTGAATACAGAAGATGATTTTTCAAACACATTTAAAATTTTTGCAATGCATTTGAAAATATAGGTTAAGTTTCCCCAAGCCATCATTTTACTTTCCTTAAACACATTAAGCCTTTGTTATTTGCTAAAATAATGTTTATACCAAATCAAATATTGTAAATTCTGAGTTTTATTATTGCTATAATGTGTTGTTTTTAAAGGTGTGGTTTCTCCTTTATGAAAATATACATAGATAGAATAAATGTTAATCTAAAGGACAAAAAAATACTTTCATTAATCCAAAAATAAACATGTTATATTGCAAGATCTATAAATATTGCTTTGGAAATATATATAAAAAGCTTGTACCATTCTTTGAGTAAATACATTCTTTCCCCCCTCTTCTAATTTTTCATTGTAGGTACTAGACCACCACTGATCAAAAATTTACCTAAGCCCATTGAGAGCCTGATGACTCGTTGTTGGTCTAAAGATCCTTCTCAGCGACCTTCAATGGAGGAAATTGTGAAAATAATGACTCACTTGATGCGGGTATAATCCTTCTTTTGAGGGGCTTTGAGTTTAGGGGGAATTTAATATACACTGAGTTTTAGTGGACTTTTAAAATAAAGGAAACATTACCATTTCCCGCTTTATACTTTGTATTTTCCAAGTTAGAGTATTTATTGCTCACATAATCAGAAGAGTAAACATTGTTTTAGGAAAAAAATATAGTTCTTTATAATAGAAAGATGGCTAGGGTAGGTTTCTAGACTTGAGTTTTCATACTGCTAACATTACTATTTGTTTCTGGGCCTGTGAACTGTAATGTGATAGAAGCAAAATTAGATTAGACCTAAAGCCTTCATAGGAATTAGGTATATTAAGACTTTAATAACATGCTTACCTAAATTTTAAATTTTCTGGTAGATTTTCATCAGAAATTCAGTTATTTAGCTCAGTTGTTTATTCAGTTACTGCGCTGTGCCTACCTTGCAAGTGCAAGGTCCTGAGTTCGATCCTCAGTACAAAAAAAAAAAAAAACTTCAGTTATTCATGCAAGGCACTAGAGAGGTTACATTTCACACGTACTAATTTTGGGGTGGCTGGTGGAAAGTTTGGGTTTTTTTTGGTGGTACCAGGGATCATACCCGGGTCCTTGTGCTTGCAAGTCTGGCGGTGGAACCACTGGGCTAAATCCCTGGCCCTGGAATTTTTAATTTAGAAGAATCCTTCAGATGACAAATTTTCCTAGTCTATAAATCAGATATTTTAGAACTACCACACATAGTTTAGGCTTTTAGTTTTTAGAATACTAATAAAAATCATAAAGTGGTACTTTGGCTTTAATAAGTTCAAGTGTTTATAAAAGTACATGCATTTCAGAATAACTTGTTCAACAGAAGAATTTTACAGTTTTCTCAAGTATAGACTAAGTGATTTCCTAAATGGTCAACGATTTAGTTTGTTTATTCTGTGAAAATAACTAAAGCAAAGCAGCTTGAGTTACCTATAGATAGAACTGTAGGCCCTAAAGTGTGTGTGTGTGTGTGTAAGTGTGTGTAAGCAAACCCAAAGTAACAAGATAATTTAAAACTTTGGGCTATATAAATTATTCAGATTATTCTTTTATTCATATGTCCTTTGTCTAATTTGAGAAGAATACTTTGCTTTTTTCTGTAAATTCTAATTTTTTGTCCAGTAAATACTTTTAATATTAATGTCACTTAAATTCATAGAAAGGCATTCTAGATAATTAAAATATTAGTCTTAGCAGTTACTATGTGGTATACCAGTCTCAGTTGTCAGACCAATAATTACAGTTTAAGTATATGTCACTGGTATGAGAACATGAATGTATTTCATGTAATTGTGAGAAATGATACTATTCTATTCCATATGTTTCTCTAGAGAAATATTTGCTGTTTTCTTCAAGACTATCTAGACTCCATATAAACTAGATGCTTAGGTAGGTGCATGGCATTGTCCACAATTGATATTCAAAAGGGAGTTGTATCGTCATCTCTGTAGAATCAAAACTTAGGGCTCTTCAAATTCAATATGTGCCTTACAGAAAATAAACCTGTATCTTTGCTACAGTCAAATTTCACAAGAAAATAATTCAGACAAGCACTTCAAGTTAATTTTAACAGGACTTAATTTATATTAAAAATTTTTTAAATTGTGGTTTTCTTTTTATATATAGTACTTTCCAGGAGCAGATGAGCCATTACAATATCCTTGTCAGTATTCAGATGAAGGACAGAGCAACTCTGCCACCAGTACAGGTAAATGGATAGAATGGAAAAAATAACATCCTGATTTTGTTTTATCCATTCCTATGAAATTACAATCAAGAAGCACTGAGTGATGTCCCCATTTGCATTTTAATTATTTCATTTCATATGATTGACTGCACTTTGAATTCCCAAGTGCATCATTTTTCATGAAGGTACCTAGATTAAAGAGTTATTTAAGACCTGCTTCCAAGTGTTAGAATTTTTACATAGTTACATATAAAAAGATTGGATTTTATATTGCTGTGAATGTCATTCTTAACTTGAAAAATAGTTTTTACACGAATATTGCTGTATCAAATAGTATTAGAAATTATTATAAATGTATATAGCATGTCTTCATTGTGAACACTCTACTTTTTGATTTTTTATAGAGATTTATTTAAGAACCTATGCTTTAGTTAGACATTTCTCGATTTTCTAAAATATGAAATAGTGAAAAATGATAGTTTGTGGTCATAAAAATAGAAATAGCACTAACTTAGAATTGTAATTATCAAAATATGTGGCGTTTCTGTTATTAATTTAATTACATCTAAAAGATACGTGTGTACATGTAGATTTATCCTGCACTTAAAATTTTATTTTACCAACAAATATATTTACTGATCTGTTTCCTCCTCCTTAACAATAGTTTTATATATTTTTGAGGTATTTAACTGTTTGGCTAGTTATTCTCAAATTCTCATTTTACTGAAAAAAATTTTAGTTGCTCTGAATTCTAAAATGAACTTCTCTAGAACTGTGTGTTTTGTTTTTCCCCTTACCACCAAACCCTCTTCTTGTTTCCATGGTTTCCTTTGATCCTTTCACCTTTTCACTGACATTTAATCCTCTTAGGTCCTTTTTTCCTTCATCTTCCTACTTACTTTCAGCTGTTTTATATATATTTTTTTTTTTTTTGAATAATGCCTATTAGCTTTCTAGCCCCTTTCTCAAACTTGCTTGACTAAATCACAAGTCTGATTTAATTTAGTCTATTCCTTGCCTGGAACAGTGCAAGCTGAATACAGTGCAGTTGAATATGGTTGAAGGCAGCACTCATTTACTATCCTCAGATGGGTATTTAGTGCTGTTGGACAATTACATTTTAGCCCATCTCCTCCTATATTACATCATTTTGTATTTCTAACTCTCATCAAACTATAACCACTTTTCAACTCCTCATTTCCAGCTGACTTTTTTTGCTATTTCTGAGAAAATTGGAGTAATCACAAGACAGCTTCCACAAATTCCTCCAGTATAGCCACGTATCCAACTACTTGTTTAATACCTAATAGGAACTCAGACTTAACGTTTTCCAGCCTGAGTTCCAGATACTTTATACTCATTCGTCCTCTCGTTGTCTTCTCAGTTACTTGCCTTCAGTTCTACTACCTCAAGTTATTCTTGGTGATTATTTAGGCATTTTGGTAACTTTTGTACTGTCCTTAAGCTTAATTTAAATTGGGCTTGTTTAGGACATCTATTAGTACCTATTTTTATTTTTAATTATTTTATGGTATTTTTATTTCTATTTATATCTTGCTAGTTTAGAAAAGAATTTAAATTTATATTATTGAATGAAGCATTTGTATTCTCAACCTCTAGTTATAAATGTTTCTGTTTTCCTAGGCTCATTCATGGACATTGCCTCTACAAATACCAGTAATAAAAGTGACACTAATATGGAGCAAGTCTCTGCTACAAATGATACTATCAAACGCTTAGAATCAAAATTGTTGAAAAATCAGGCAAAACAACAGGTTTGTTATGTTTTTTTGTTTGCTCTGTTTTGTTGGTACCGGGGATCGAACTCGGGGCCTTTTGCTGGCGAGGCAGGAGCCAGAACCAATGAGCTAAATCCCTGGCCCAGGTTTGTTATGTTTTTAAAAGTAAAATTATATGATGACCTTACTAGTACTCATAATATTTAGCTAATTAAAATTATTTGCCATTATCTATTATATAAGTCCTGACTCTTCCTAAAGCAGACAAATAAGTGTAAGAACAAAGATTTAGAAAGAGTTCTACCATCTATTATCAAACAAGTTGTTTTTCCCTTCTGATTTTGCTCTTCTTGCTTGAGGCATTGAAATTAACTAATAATTGGGGCATTTAACTACCAACTCCAGTGACTGTAGTATCTGGCTTGTCCTCTCAGCTATAGCTCCCACTCCCTGCAAATGTCCCTCTTCTTTGAAAGCAGTACAGGATCCATGAGGATTCCACTTGACATCTCCCTTCTAGGATGCCAAGGATTTCTAAATCCAGAGAACCTTAGTGATTCAGATTGACCTGTTGTTTTGACAGAGTGAATCGGGCCGTCTAAGTCTGGGAGCCTCCCGAGGCAGCAGTGTGGAGAGCCTGCCCCCAACCTCTGAGGGCAAGAGGATGAGTGCGGACATGTCAGAAATAGAAGCCAGAATCGCGGCAACCACAGGTAAAAAGAACTGTAGTCTAAAGAGGAATGAAAACAGACATTCCTTTTTGGCCTTATAGTTGCAGTTTCTAGTGGGGATGTCCGAGGTTCTTTATGTTGTTTTTTTTTTTAATCAGGAAGTAGAATAGTATACTTTCTAAGCTTCTGACAGTATAATTTACCTCAAATTCTAAGGAAAATATGACTTAAAAATTAATTAGGCTATTAAAATATATTTTCCCAATTACACATCTTATTAGATGTAATTCTTTGTGCCACATGAGCTTAAAGTTTAAGTGAGAAATTGAAATTGGCCAAAACCAAAATGTTTACAGATTTTGACTGATTCTACTGGATTTTTATGCTAAGCTCAAGTAATAGCAAACACTTTGTTTTGAAGTTAACAAAAAATTGTAATGTAGACCAATATGATTCAGCTTTACTGTCTGCTCTTCCTTCCCTACAGTGGCAGAAGTAGCTGAGCTGGTTAATTCATTTAATTGTAACTCATTTAATTCATTTGTGGTTAATTCATTTAATTATAAAATCAAAGATAACAGTTTTATTGGATCTTTAAAGAGTAATCATAAATTATATTTCATCTCTTCTTAAAATTATTAATCATGAGAGAATTGGTCAGCATAAAATTACATGTTTTGTTAGGTAAGAGAACTGACACCTTTTTTCTAACCAGATTTCATTTTAGTAATATTGGCTTAATTTGGGTTTGGTTTAGTTTGAGTTTTTGCTAGGTCTCCTCATGGTGGAAGGGAAGTGATTATAAAAGTAAACACATTTTCTTGTGAAAAATGAAAATGTAAACAAACAAAATTACATAATATTCCTAATTAGAGATAAACATTGAACATTTCTGTATGTTTACCTTTAGTCCTTTAAATATGCAGGCATATAAATGTATACATCCATAAGTATTTGCTTATATATTTTTTAACTTGGCTAACCACTTTTTTTTTTAGGTCTTTCATTTCATATCTGTTATTCTCTAAGTAGAGTATTCTCATTGTATATGGAGCTCTTTTCAGAAAAAGGTGGTCCAGATGGATCATCATACTATACTTGTCTTCAGCTAATCGTGATTCTTGATTTTATCATCAGCAAGTACTAGAATCCATTAGACATAACAGACTATCCAAAATAACAATGTATATGACACATAAGCTTTCTTTTTCACGTATAGACAAGCCTGGAGGTAGGCTTCATAATCAGTGGGGAGCTGACCTCTTATTTCCCTTTGTCACAGTCCCTGTATGTGTTGCTTCCAGCCTCAAGCTTACCTCATAGTCCAGAATGGCTTTTAGAGTATCACTCCTCACTTCCTCGTTCCAGGCAGTAGGAAAGAAGAAATAGGAGCAGGTAAAGAGATAGCCAAGCTATTTGAAGGAGCTTTCTCTAACATCCACATAAATGTCATTGACCAGAATGACATAGTTAGGTAGCTACAAATAACTCCATAACTGTGGTCATTTGTCTGGAAACATTGTTCAAAATAAAGGCGGAGTTCTGTTTCTAAGAAAAAAGAAAAGAATAGAGATGAGAAAAATACTAGTAGCCTCTTAAAGATGGATCTGCAGAAATGAAGAAGTTAATTGGCGGTCAACTGTCATTGACAAACACTCCAAGGATTAGACCCCTGTTTGAAGTAGGGTTGGTAAACCCTGCTTGCAGAGACATAACCTTACACTTTAGGGGCTCTTTTTCACTTCAGGGATGTCATTCAAGAAAGACTAACCAAATTCTACCCTGAAACAAAAAGTTAGTGTTATGATAGTATATGTGCTGCCAAAGCGAGTACAGTGTTAAAGGAGGTTTATGTCTTTGTTACTCAAGTACTTGTTTTTCTAGTCAAGTATTAATTTACCATTATTCATTATAGAAATGATATTTCACTAGGTTAAAGAGAACCACAACATTAAATTTTACCGTCTCTGCCTAAATGCAGGATATATTCTATTGTGTAGCTTTTGAATTTTTTATGTTCAAAACTAAATTTTGAATTGTCTTCTTTGTAAGGTTCATATTCCAGTTTTTACAACCTTCTTGCATAAATGGGATTTAACTTAATCTCTGAAAACTAGTAAATATTGTTTATTAGAAATATGTATAGATATAAATAGAAAAGCATATATGTTTCACACTTTATTTCAGTAATTACCATTTAACCACTGAATTTCACTTTATAGCACATTTCAAGAAGCACCTAACAAAAATGTATTACTATGTTTGTGTGATCAAATATGGCAGCTTATTTCTTATTAACCACTCTCCCCTTCCCTCCTCCCCTCCCTTCCCTCATCACATATCATTAGGTAGATTGTTTCTATGAGTATTTTTGAAATTCAGCTTCCTCTTTACCCTGCAGCATTGTTTGTCTGTCTTTTTTTTCCTGCTATAGACCAATATGTGAAACTTCTTGTATTGTTAGTTGTTTGCTTTTTAATCATGCCTTCTCTAAGCATGGATGAAAAGTTAGATAGTGCTGCATGACATTTCGCATGACATGTTATTAACATAACTGTGAGAATTTTTCTGTTTTTGTAATCATTTTCTGTGTTACTATTTGTGGTTGTTTGCATGTATACTGTATATATGTGTTTTTGCAGCCTATTCCAAGCCTAAACGGGGCCACCGTAAAACCGCTTCATTTGGCAACATTCTGGATGTCCCTGAGATCGTCATACCAGGTATCATAGATCACCTGAGCTGGTCTAATAATGTGGAACCGGAATAATGATCCCTGGTACTTTTAAAATGCTTCTTGCTCCAATTTTTATACAACATGAAAAGACATACCTTGCATGCACTAATTAGGGAGACAAATTGAAAACTGTGTATATTTGTTCTGAAATGTGCTTGAAAAGATAACCTCAGATCTCTAATAGTATGGATAAAATAGACAGGAAAGTAAACCTTGTCACAGAAGGGAAAACATCAACTCAGGCTTCTATCACTTTTCTCTTATTTGGTAGTGGACAAGTGAACTAAACCCACACCTTTTTTGTACTCAGCAGAAGGAAGACTATTTTAAATTGTTTCCCATCCTTGATTTCTTTCCTTCCTCAGTTTACCACGTTTGGAGCCCACTCTAGGCTTTCTATCTTAGCCTCTTTCTGTTAGTAGCAAGTGATACAAAGTTGATAGAAGAGAGTTGCTAAATGCCATATTTGTTAACCTAGAAAAAAGAAGCAAAGTAAAACCAAATGAGATTGGCTGTTTTGTAGGGTACTCTTGCCAAAAAAGAAAAATATCATTGGTTAATTCTAATTCTTGTATATTATCAGGAATATTTAATAAATTACTATTGTTATACTTAATTCACAAGTGGTATTTTAGTGTCTCAAATTGGTCAGCTGTTTTCTTTTCACTCGTGGTGGTCATTTCATAAATGAATATAAATTACCATTTTTAATAAAAATTCAAATGGCATACTGACCTTCAAGACTGATTAATATATGTTACTTTTATTTTAAAAAGTGCTCGCTCATCTTTCTGCTTTAGATTTTCCTCCTCCTGTTTATTGAAGCATTTGATTAGGAAATACACCATATTTTCCAGACACATTCATGTATCTTAATTTGAATGAATTCTTTACCTCTAGGTGTGTTGGATGTGTTTGGGCTTTTAGTGTAGTATTTACACTATAATTGAATACTTAATGATTACTTTTTCCTCTACTAAACTGACAACTCTGTAAGGATAACAGTCCATGTCTGTGTTAGTTATTATTGATTGTGTCAGGAGTAGCTAACTCAGATCATTCTTTTTCTTCTTTCTTTCCTAACTTCTTTCTTTCTGTGCTGGGCTTTGAACCCAGGGTCTTATACATATGAGGTCAGTGATCTACCACTGACTTACATCTCCAGCCCTGAAGAATGCCACTTTTCTTTTTTGTAGTTTTGGGGATCAAACCCAGGGCCTCATGTATACCAGGCAAGCACTCTACCATTGAGCTTATACCCTTAGCCTAGTGCATCATATAGTGAATATACAGTAGTGTTTAGTAAATAGGTATTTGTTAAATAAGTAAATAAATCATTATTGAGCATCTCCCTTAGCTAGGAAATAAAAACATAAATTATGCAATTTTAGAGACTTTTGTCTATCGAGTAAACTATATAAATTTCTTACTAGTTTTTAAGTGATTTCTTATTTTGTAACATTGTCGCTATTGCTGTTCAAAGAATAGTATTGATTCATTTTTTTATGTAGTAATTTTTATTTATTGAGTTAGGGCCATGTTAGAAGTTAAAATATTTGAAATCATTTTATTTCCATGCTGAAAGTTTCCACATATAAGTGAGGAAACTTTGATTAAAGAATTGGCAGTGTTTAAACTTAAATTCTAATGAACTGTGGTTACCTTTCAAGAGAATCAGGAAAATTTAGGCAGAGAGCAATATAATCATAATCTAGGTCTTATGGGTAAGTATGGAGAACATGTATATGACAGTATAGCCGGTAGTATACAAGATGATGGGGGAAGTAATAGGGGGAAAGAATACTAGTTTGTAACTGTTGGAAGGTTCAGGCATGTAGTGCTAGAGGCCAGCATTCCAGTGCTACTAAGTAGCCCCCCACAACAAGAATTATCCAGTCCAACAAGTTTAACAGTGCTGAATCTGAGAAGCCCTGCTTAGATGTGCTTGGAACTACAAAGTAGTGTGAAGTACATGATCTTCATTGACCTTCATTACAACGTTTTAGCTAGGTTATCAGATGAAATTGTAGCCATTTTGCAGATGAGTTTAGATATCATGAGGCTAAGTGGTTTTCCCAGTGTCACACAGCTGGGACCCTAACCCAGAACTTCTCACTCCAAATTTCATCCATTTTCTCCTGTTTTGTTTAAGTCACAGGAGATAGTATTTAAAAAAAGAAGATAGTGTTCACATTAAGGAGAGCTCACTCGGGGAGACCATGAGATTGAGTCCTTTATGGAATCAGAAAACCTTAATTCTGCTATTAATTGCCAGAGCAGCAATGTTGTTTGAATGAAAATGTTCAATAATGCATTTTATTAAATATTCTTGTTTCATTCCTTCCCTCACCCCCAGATATCCAAACATTAACATAATCAATTTGCAAGCCTCATGCCTCAACCTCCCAGAGTGCTAGGGTGACGGGCTTGCATCACCACACCCAGCCCTAGGTTATATAATTAAGTTACATATAAAAATATAGCCTTTGAGAATGTTTCATATTTCCTATATAACATTTTAATTATGAAAAAAGATGGTAACTTCCCAAATTTCTTAGTATTTTCGGAAATTTTTTCCTCTAAATGATTTCCCACAAGTTCTGTTGTATTGAGATATTTCTTGATATATTTAAATGATTATTAGCACCTGGAATCCAGTTGTAAGCATTCTTAAAATACAAAGTTTTTAAAATCTTATTTGTTACACATAGGTAGTTTTAGTAATACTTTCCTTTGGCTAAATACAAAGTGTGTATACTTTTTGGAATGAATTGCTTTTCAATAAAAGTGCTCCTTCAAGCATCACAAAATGGTTTTATACATATCTTTATAATGGCTAAACAAGTCAAATGTCTATTGTAGTGTCAGGTGAACAAATCCAGAGACCCTAATCATCATTTTTGCTTACTTGAAAAATATTTTCTATTATGGCATCATTCAGATGAGGAAGAAAAAGCAATTTATGGCTACCAGCAGTATCTATAAATGTAATAGTCTCTTAGGGCAGGTAGAAATTTATGAGTGGATAGATCAGATTATACAATTTCTATGCCTTTTCTGCATTATTCCCAGGGCTGAGTTACTGGCAAACTTCAGTATGGTAACCCTTTTTTCTACTTTCTACTGTGCTCCTGCCCTTAAAGGGCAAGCTTCAGTGGTGGTGAACCTATGACACACATGCTGCAGGAGGCTGTTCAGTATCATTGAAATCTCTAAAAGGTTCACCATCACTGCATAGGTTAATCTGGCTCCATATTACCAGACAAGACACAGTTAAGAGCAAATTACCAAGATAGTGTATGATGTTTTTCTAGCTATTCACTTGTGGAAAAGGTTCTGCCTTAGTGTTGCCAGCTAAGCAGAGTTCAAGGTATGATTGAAAAATATGGTGAATGTTTAATTTTTTTAATTCATTACAGTAAATGACCTGTTGCCCTTATACTTCTCAAAATACTCCCTCTTACTTGAAACATACATCCTGTCCTTCTTGCCACTTTCTAAAGCAGTTTTGGAAGTCCCCTTCTTTGATTGTGTTTATTTACATTGGCCTGGATGCCTTGAGGTCCTGAATTCATTCAAACTGTTTATCTTTCATAGTCTTTTACTTTGGAGAAGAGCCAGAAATTGCACAATGCCAGATCCAATGAATAAAGTGGATCAGGATATACTGTAATGTATTTACAAGCATGCATTTCTATTGGATGGCACTTTGCATTGGTATTTACTATATTTTTGATCAGACAACATAAAGACATGAAAGAGGACTTCCAGAACTACTCCAAAATGTGGCAAGAATGATGGGGTACATGTGTTCCAAGCAAGGGGGACTATTTTGAAAGGGATTAATGGCAGTGTATCTTTCACTTAATAATTTTTCATTAAAACATCAAATTTTTTTAAATCAACCTTTGTAAATGTAAATATGAAAGTTTTCTGCCCAAGATTTAGACCATGGATGACAGTTTTCTAGTACACTTACTTATTGAGCATTATAAATTGCTAAATTGGAAAAGGCTTGAAAAGAAAAAATAGCGCTTTCTTCAGTATTTTTCATTAGAACTTGAGGCTTAAAACCATAGTCCTTTTTCTTTTTCAGCCATTGTATTGTAATTTGTTGTACTTCATTTGAAGAAAAGGGAATGGATGATCGATTATTGGATTGCTTTAAGTTTTTCTAGATTATTTTTCTTTTTAGTACTTTAATAAGGACAAAAATATAGATCTTTGTTTTACTTGGATTTTCTTTACTTTTTACCACATTTTGTTTTTGTTCCTTTTCAAGCATATAATTCTCTTTTGTCCGATCTCTGTCTCAAATACACAACTGAAATAGGGATTAAGATTGCAGGACTATATTATACATTTTAATAATGTATTAGACTAATGTGCTAGTAGAATATCTAAATTGTACATTTCTTTTAAAAATCCAAATATCAGACTTCAGTAGTTGAACATGCTAAAAAGTTATAAAAAAGGAGGAACAACCTCTTCAAATTTAAATCGTAGAATAAGGGACTGATAATCATGTTTCTAGCATCAGTAACTAAGGAAGCAGTTGTACTCTGGAGTCCTCATATGAGTAGATAGAATCCTCAAGAAAACCAACTATGATTAAAATGCATTTTTAAATCTGGAAAAAATACAGTTGAATATAACCTTGCATGTAAAAAAATTGAAACATTAAGACTTCTGCACTACCTCCCATTTTAATGTAAAATTTGTTGTACATAGTTTAACCACATTCATTGCTATTATAAAATTAAAATGAATTCCCAAAATGTGATTTACAAATACTAGTAGTATAATTATAACTTGAAAAAATTGGCTAAGTTGGAAAATGTTATAGAATATTTCTAGCTAAACAGATTTTATTAATGCTGTTGTACTATCAAATATAAGTTTGAGTTTGCTTCACAGTTCAGGCTAAATACCATGTTTCATTGCATTTTTAGCAATTGAAAAGTCTCTGTTTAACAGACAAATAGACGGGTAGTTAGAAAAATAATTTAATTAGAAAAATTAATTGGAAAAATAATTTAATTGTGTGTTGTTGGCTCTCTTCAGAAGTTTCAGATATCTTAGACATTGACCAACAGATTGACAGATGAGGAGGACTTTATAGATCATCATAAAGCTGAAGGTAGAAGTACTCTTTCGGGACACCTGGGCATTATTTTGCTTTCTACACCAGGAGGAGAGTATAACCTTTCTAGTAATATATTTGGTTCAAGAACTAGTAAATACAGTGGACCCTTGACTTAAGGAACTCTATCAGTTCTCAAGGGCTGGTTGTAACTCAAGTTGGTTGTAAGTCAGTACAGCTGAGACCTGGATGTTTACCTGGTTACATGCTATAGATAACAAGAGGCAGATGAGTCTTCCATTAACCTAATTAACCCAAGTTGTTCGTATGTCAGACTGGTCCTAACTTGAGAGTACACTGTACTGTTTTGAACATTCTTTTAACTGAAAGTATGTAAAATATTCATGTTTTTTCCCTAAATAGTAAACATCAGTATGAAGAGACAGTGAAATAGAAGGAATTGCGTTTTTCTGGCAAGATCTAGCAAGTTCCTACCTTGCGCAGATGGTGTGATTAGCAGTTATAAATCTTTGATTAGCACTGCTGGAACCCACAAGGAGCTATATTAAGATACCTCTTGTTATTATACTTCTTTAATGTATAGCCACCTGACTTTCAATAAAATTTTATATTTATGGCTAATTAAGGAAGTTAATTTAACATTACAATAAATATTTAGGAAATATCTCCAGATTGTAGTGTACCGAGATCACTTTTTATAATCTAAAATATCAAACTCTAACCTCCAGAAGGCAAAGCTTACCAGTAAGTAGTCATTGCTTTCCTTTGATAGGAGAATCTTTAAAAACTTCCCTGAAAGGTATAAGAGGCCAAATATATTGAAATTGGTAAAAGAAAATAAAATTTATGGTAGCCTAAATGAGAACAATTAGTAATTACACACTCAGTTTACCACACAGCAGTAACTTTTTACAATGAACAGTGCCCCCATTATTTTTAATATTTAAAATTGTGAATGTCAAATTTTTCGATGTTTTGATTAAAAGACATCTCCAGAAAAATACAGTGTTAGTTGTTAAAAAGAATTTTCAGGAACATTGAAAAATGAGTGTAGTTAAGGAAGGCTGTGAACTTTTTTAAACCAACAAGAAAAACCACAGGAGTAGACTAGGACCTAAGCCAAGTCTCTGGAAGAATTCTATGATAACTTTCAAATACTCATTCAAGAAATCAATTGTACTTAAAAGAGCAGCTTCTTTGAAGAGGTAGGTTCTGTCTTTATGACATTACTGCAAAAAGAACTATAAAATATTGACCTATAAATTGCTGTTTTAACTTCCTTTGATGGGGGGTGGAAGAGGTGATGTTGCTCTTCCAAGAGTCATTTTTTAAAATGTCATTTTTTCCCTCTATTGTAAGTCATGAAAATTATAGAATTCATTGCAAGCTCAGATGGTCATATACAGGTTTCAGATCCCTTAATCAAGCATTATTTCACATTCTGTTGCCCTCCTTTCTTCTACTCACTTTGTTTGCACTATCATGTATAATACAGGTAGTGCACATATCAAAGAACCATAGAATAATGTAAATTGAGTACTTCTCTTTCAGTTGCAAAATTTTCAGAATCCGTATTTTCTGATACACCCAGTATTTTTCATTTACAATAATGAGATTGATATTTTGTATTCATATTTCTAAATACGACTTTTAAACTTAATATTGGAGCAACAAGTATTTGTTGATTGCAGTATTTTTTTGCTTTGTCTGAACTATTTGCCAGATGATTTCTGCCATGGTTATGCTAATTAAAATGCATTGCCTAATACTGCTTGCTTTGACTCATGCTGTAGTTTAAATATTTCTCATTTTATGGCATTTGTTAACTGTCAGCTCTTCTTTACCATGTTTCCTGAAAAGTTTTTATACCCATTTTGTCCTTCCAACCTAAACTCAGTTCATTTCTTATTGCAATGGTGATATAATGGTTTATAGATATACATGCTGGTTGGTTCCTCAGATTCACAAATGTTGCTGATTTGGAAAGAGAATTCCAAACAGTTTTACAACCCTGTCTCATGTATGCTAATTTTAGAATGAGTGTGTTGAATGAAATGTGCCTAAAATTACTTATTGGTCATAGTGGTGGGGACCCTTTTTGTCCTTGGAAACAAGGATAGTTAAAAGTATTCCTAAAAGGATTTTGTGTTTGGTTTTTTTCTTTTGGGTACCGGGGATCGAACTCCGGACCTTACGCTTGCGAGGCAGGCGCCAGAACTACTGAGCTAAATCCCTGGCCCATCCTAAAAGGATTTTAATGTGTCTGATTCACGAAATGCAGTTTGTGGTTTTAAGTGGTAATGGAAAGTTGGGACTTCTGGTACATTGAAATTTAAAGTAAATTTCAATTCAGACTGCACAGAATTCTAAAACATTCTAAAGTGGAAAAAAGTGATGATGATTTATACTTTGAAGGGTGTCTGTTAGAGTTTTTACATTCACTACACATATTAAACACTTATTCTATTGTAGGCTTCATTTAGAGTTCATGTGCAAAAACAAAAATGAGGTCACATGGATTAAGCTGTTACAGTGATTGCTGTAAGATTTTTTTATTCTCAGAATCATAAAATTTAAACATTTAAAAATGAATTACTTGTTAATTGAGCCACAACTCTTATTAGAGTACATGTTCTGAGTGCTGCTCAAGAGTTGCAAATTTACATAATACAGCTTCAGAATCAAAAGAATTTTGAGTACTATGTCAGCTGTTACTCATTGTATTTTGGTGTTTCCTTTTAGACAACTGTTCTCTCATCTTAGAAGATACTGTATAAACAACACTATCCTCAAATAAAAGTGCCAAGTGAAGCTATTGGTTAATTCACTCCATTTTGCTGAAGGCTAAAGTTTTTAGAATTCTCTTTTATTGAATCAGATTATTAGCATAGAAATTCCTGAAGCAAGGTATTACATAATAGCCCATTTCCACAAGCTGTATATTTGAGAACAGAAGAAAATTGAGTTTTCACAAGTAACAAATTACTAGATTCTAACAATGACTAATGGGATTAAATCTGATTTGGTATAACAAATTGAAGCCTAAACATCCTTTGAGGCCTTGAAACAAGGTACTGCTGCTGGTTAGTCAGTCGTGTCTTACTTACAGCCTGCTACTAGCTGTCTTGCTGTTAAAAACTGTAACGTAAGGTCCTTGAAATAGATGCCATCATCAGCTCCAGGCCCCAAGTATCCATCTATTTAAACACATGACAGAAGATGGTGGAAGAGAGTTCAGCAGCTATTCATGTGGTAGGAGTGGTTATTGTATTAAGATATACAGTACTCTCTTGTGGGCCAGCAACTTTTCAGTTTAATCACTGCAGTTGTTTCCTCTTCTTTTTCTCTGTTTTTTGGGGTTTGGATGGGCTATTTTTTTAACAATAAACTGACTTATTATTTTTCTTACAAATATTTAATGTAGATCTGAGGAACAACAAATTGCAGCTCCCTACTGTAGCAGTTACCTTACCATCCTTGTTACCTGTTTGAATAGATTTCACTCTCTTGCTTTTTTTATTTTTCAAAAGGCAATGGGCAACCAAGACGTAGATCCATCCAAGACTTGACTGTTACTGGAACAGAACCTGGTCAGGTAAGAATATTAATATCACCTGTATTTGAGAATAATAGTAGACATAAATCAAGAATTATCCATAATATGCTTTGCAAAATTAATTTTATGAGTTTACCTAAATTGTAGTAGAGAAATTCAGACACCAAACCTAAATACTTGAGGGGAAAAAGCATAATTGCTATTATTAATTTGAAAGATAATTTATGAAGTTTAAACTGCATGGGAAAATAAATTGTTCAGTAGTGCTCTGTGTATGTTACATGGTTTTCATGTATGTTTTAATAAAGAATAATTCAGTTTTGTAATTTAAAGATGTCATGATCATTGTTCTCTAAAGTAAATCACATCATTCTTCTGGGGTCACAGAGTACATTGACATACCAGGGGAACTAACATCTTTTGATTTGGCTTATTTGTACTGGATTTATACTTTGTTAAATTCTAGAAAAATGTCTATCCCAGTTCTTAAGGTTTGTATTAATTATATTTCTTTGTAGATAGTTCAGACAGTGCTATAATTTAAGAAATTACTGACTAGTACAGAGTTTTAACCAACTAGGTATATAAAAGTAGTTCCATCATTTTTTTTGTTAATCAGATTAATATATTTGACATAATTTATATCATGTTCTTTAAAATTCAGATCAATTCTGAGATGTTTTGTTTTCATTTGTGCTAAAATCAATTTTGAGTATGCCTCAGAAATAATAAAATTATCATGATCCATAATGTGAAATTTTAGCATTATATATTATAAACTGTGATTTAATTTGTGATAATATCTTAGGAAAGATGTTTTATTTCACTTTTATAAAATGAAAAATTTAAATGTATTTAAATTTGTGGGATTCTTTGTAGTCATTAATAAAAATTTGATAGCCACTTATAGCCATTGACTTAACGAACAAAAATTACCTGAGGTATTTGATAAATATCCTACCTTTATTTATATGTGAAAATACTTCTATTACACAACTCAATGCTTTTATTACTCAACTCAACATATGTAACATTATTAAAATACAAAACTGCAGATATGCATTTATTACATATTTTATGCTAGCTACTCTAAATCTTTATTTCACTTACTCAGTAGATGGGGTTTTTAGAGACCCAGAAGTTTTGAGTGAAGTATTCCCCTTTTCTCCCCCTCAAACACTTAAAGGCTTTAATTAGCTCACTTAGTTTGACATCTAGTAATATTTTCTTTCATTCCTCAGAGACTTGATGAGTTCAGCCTTTTAAGCTGTTTACTGTTGCCATTCATATTCCAGTTATGAGAACCTCTAGCCAAGTGTTCTCCTTTTGATTAGGAATGAGAAGCTTGCTCTGAAATACATCAGGAGTGACTGCTAGTGTGAGTGCTTTTCCTGGATTTCCAGATTGCAGGTGTTATGATATAGATCTAAAATGTGCTCTATAAGTCATGTATGTTTGGAAGGTGATTGGATCATGGGGCACTGTACTCATCAGTAGACTCATCCATTGATGAACTCAATAGCTGAATATACTGTTAGGAGGTGGGCCTGGTTGGAGGTAGGTCATTGGATGTGTGACCTAAAAGGATGTATTCTTGTCCCCAGCTCATCTTCTCTCCCCACGCCTCATCTCTACCCTCCTCCTTCCCTCCTTTCCTCCCTCTCCCTCTTTACCTGTGTGCCTGTCTCTCTCTCATTCCCTGCCTTCCTCTCTCCCTCTCTCTTCTTGGCCACCATGATCTGAGCCTCTTTCCTTCACCATACCCTTTCACCATGCTCTTTGTGCCTTGGACCCAGCCAGCCATGGCCTGAACCTACTGAAACAAACCTCTTTTAAGTTGCAAGTGTTGGGTATTGTGTCTCAGTAATGAGAAAGCTAATGCGGAAGGTATTGCTGTATAGTTCAGTACTGATCTCCCTCTACCAAACCTTACATGTTTCTGCACTTCTATATAATTTGGAATTGTGATTAACTCATTAATTTACAGTACCTTCAGATAGTAAAACATGGGCTGTGGTTGTGGGACAGTCATTTGCATGAAGTGTTATAGAATATTTCAAAAGATTTGGGGTAAGGAAGTGTTTCATACAGCAGTAAAGACTGTTCTAAAATAGTTGATATATAACTGCTGATACAGCAGTTTTTTAAATTGAGCCAGTCTTTCAGATTTGCTTCACTGTTATAACCTTAAAATGCCTAATGTCTAGTTTGGGATACCAATGGTAAACATAACCATGAAAATATTTTCCCCTGAAAGGTATATGATAAATGACCATTAAGTTAAATACTCATGAAAATAAATTCATTGTTTGGAAGAAGAAAAATATTCACAACATGGATTGTTTAGGTTTTTTGTTTTGCTTTGTTTTTTGTGTCACTATAGGTTGAACCCAGGGAACACTGACTGATATCCTTAGCCCTTTTAAGTTTTTATTTTGAGAGAAGTTGTCTCCTAAATTGCCCAATCTTTAACTTGAATTCCTCCAGCCGCAGCCTCCTATGTAGCTGAGATTATAGGTGTGTGCCATCACACGTAACTCAATGTGAATTTCTAAATCTTGAAAGTGTCTTTTGAAGGTGGCAAACCTATGACATGCATGTTGTTTTTCTTTTAAGACAAAAGATGCTAATGTATGGGTTTTTTCTAAACTAAAACTTCAGTATTCAGGTTTAATCGCAGTGTTGGCACTTTTCAATAAATAAGTGGGTTTTGGGTTACAGTTTGGCCACATGTCTCTAAAAGATTTACCATCACCCGTGTATTTCTTTCAGAAACCTACCAAACCAGTGATTGAAATGATGCTGAAGGTTTTTTGTTTTGGCTTTCATTTTTTTTCTAAGCATGGAAATTGATAAAAAGCCTAAGAAGAGAATCTGACCCATCCACTAAAATCAGAGGAAATGAGAGAACTTACTGATAAGCCCTAACATTACCTCTTGTAGAGAAAGGAGAACTGACCAGAATTAGTAACTTAGCTCTTGACTTGAGCCATAATCTCAATAAAATCACTTAGACCAGTGATGGTGAACCTTTTAGAGCTTTCAGTGATAACAAACAGCATGCTGTGGCATGTATGCCGTTGGTTTGCCTCCGCTGACTTAGACTTTCCATCTGTAAGCTAAAAATATAGATGTTTTTGTACTTTCATTTTTGCTGAGAGAAAACAAAAGCAAACTTCTTCATTAAATACAAATTACAAAAAAGAAAAAAAGCTAAGATTGATGTAGATTGAGTTTCCATACCTGGGTTTCTTGGGACCAGAGTGTTCAGATTTTGGAGTTTTTCGGATTTTGCACAGGCTTTACAAAATAAGTGCCTGTAATCTAAAATCCAGAACATTTTGAGTGCCAGTGATGCTGAAAGAGTTTTAGATTTTGGAACATTTCTCTTTTTAGGTTTTTCAGTTAAGAGATGCTCAATTTATATAACAAAATGTTAATAAATATCTCACCGTTAGGGTTTTGAAACATGTTATTTTAATTTTCTATATTTTTTATTTACAAATCACTATATAATACACAGTGTATGAAAAGTAAGTGTAGTAATGTAAATATATATGTGAAATATTCTGTATTCACAACATACACGTATTTTGAAGCATGGTTTGCTGTTAATTTAGGAAGCTTATTAAGCGTTCATGGTGGATCTAGCCTCCTACAGGCTTCAAGAAAACAAAAAGTAATCCCACACATCCAAAAACTTGTCTGACAGTGAAGCCTCAGTGTTGTTTGAAGCTGGCCTGATTCTCAAAGCTGGGCTATATTATTGTCCTATCAGACATAATCTCCCCAAACACCAGCATCAAACAAAGTTTTCCTGAGACCATGGTAAAATGAAAACAAGTACCTGAATAACATAGACAAAAACAAAGTTACTAACACCCACAGAAAACCAGACATTGTCCCTCCCCCCTAAAATGAGCGGCTGCTACTGCTTCTTTTACCAATTTCTGCTTTATCTTCAGTCTGCGTGTGTCTTCTCTCCTTCCCTGTAGAATTGCCCCTGCTGTTGACCTCAGGCAATCTAGAATGAACCCCACCTTCAGGGCCTCCCAAAAATGAGCCAGCCAAAGCCTAAAGTCTATAATAGTTCCTTTCTAAAACCCTCTGGTTGAGACTCACCATGGTGTCCCATGGTGAGCATTCCTCATCACAGCAACAAGTATTAAGCCCAACTCTTTGTACTACAAATGTATTACTTGTGGTGGTGTGCTAGATAGCATTGCCAATACCAATAATGCCTAGTCTCCAAGGAACTTTTTGGGCAAATCAGATTTTGTTGATCAATACCCTTATCAATTAGAGAACAGCTGCTGTAGGGAGCAGGGGAAGGGGATGTTACCAGAACCTCTGCAGTAAGTCCTAGTCTCCTGTGAGCCACGGCAGCACAAGGT